CTAGACGGATCAGGAGAGAGCAGCACGAGGGCCCAGCAGGGAGACAAACTCGTTTTGAGGATTCTCAAACGCTCGATTTTGAAAAATATTTTTTGAGAATTCTCAAAATCTCGATTTTTGATCATTATTTCTTTTGAAATTCTCAAAAACGAATTTAACAGGTCAGGAGAGAGCAGCACGAGGGCCCAGCAGGGAGACGCGGATCATTAACGAGCAAAGGATGGCTCATACCGTGGGATATCCTCTATTGTGCCGGGTGCTTTTGGGTTGTCTTCTACTTTGGGTTGGTGTTTTTGGGTTGTTGTGAAGTTGGGAAATTTCTCAAAAACACCCTGCACAAGCAAAGGATGGCTCGTCAAGTGGGACATTGGGGGAGGGCACCGCCCCACCCCTACTACAATCATGGCTGCAAGACCCACAGCCAGCGGGACGGCACCCCAGCTCCAAAGGGGTCGAAGTTGACCCCAGAGACAGTGGCCGTGGTGGTGAGACAGCCGACAGAACGACAAAGGGTAGGGGCAGAAAGTGGTCGAGGCGGGCTCATTACGTCCCCAACGCCGACGATCGCTGCAAGGCCGAGAGCCAACGGAAGAGCCGGATGGGACGGCTCCCTGACGCCAAAGGGGTCCACGTTCACCCCAGACACGGTGGCCGTGGTGGCGTGACAGCTGAGGAGGGAGAGAGCAGCACAAGGGGCATTGACACTGACCTCGCCCACTCCAATGATGACAGCAAGACCCAACGCCAGAGGTAGGGCCCTGATGGGATGGCTCCCGGCTCCGAAGGGGTCCAGGTTCACCCCAGACACGGTGGCCGTGGTGGCGAGACAGCCGACGAGGGAGATGAGAACGAGTGGCCAGCGGGACAAGCCGTTGAGCTGAGATAGGGCGAGGCGGCGGTTGATAGACGCTGCTGGCTGCACTATGCACACCTGGGGATGGGGTAGAGGAGATACAGGGGGAGGAGGAGAGACAGCCCAGGCGGGGAATCAGCACGAGGGGCCAGAGGGGGAGGCTGGAGGGGTGGGAGAGGGAGAGGCTGCATCAGAGGGCTGGGAGAGGGAGATTTGGAGAATTCTCAAAAATACCCTGCAAACTAGAGGGACAGGCTGGAGGGGTGGGAGAGGGACAGGCGGCGAGTGATGGACGCTGCTGGCCGCACAATGCACAAGTAAAGAGTAGATTGCTTTTGAGTCGACTTAAGAGTAGATTTGACGACTGCTTTTGGCTCCACTATGCACACCTGCTTCGCCCACCTCGTCCGGCACACACCAGCTACGCCACTGGGTCCAGGACCGACCGCACGCACCAAGATTTTTTGCAGGCTGCTTTGGGGAATTCTCAAGAACGCACAGCTATCACCACCAGGACCAACAACACGCACCCCCAAGCCACACCACAGGAACCGCCAATCTCCCGTTCCCTGTGCTCTTCGTTTAGAAAGAACACCTCCATGGGGCACCTAGCAGCAGCCTCGCCTGGCTTATTATTTTAGTCAGCCCATGCAGAGACTAAAAGACGAAAGAGAAGGAGAGTGCCAAGGTCTACTTAAAGAACGCACCTCCTTCTCCCGCTGCTCGTCCTTCAAGAAGAAAACCTCCACGGCGCACCCAGCAGCTTCCCCCAGCTTCACCTGCAGCCTCTCCCGCACGTCCGCCACGTCAGCAGCCCGCAGGTTGCCTGTGAAGAGTGCGCCCGTGCCGTAGGGGCGCGAGTCCGTGGGCCAGAAGTCGGTGTAGGAGAAGCACGTGCGGAGCTGAAGGGAGGTTACAGAGGGGGGAGGGGGAGGGCGGAGGGGAAGGGAGGAGTGGAAGGAGAGAGAGAGGTGAACAGAGCGTGCTGTAGGGGCGCGAGTCAGTGGGCCAGAAGTCGGTGTAGGAGAAGCACGTGCGGAGCTGTATGGAGGAGGAAAAGGGCGAAAGGGGAGGAAAATGCATAGTGCTTTAGTAAGGCGTGCGCACGTGCCGTTGGGGGTTGAGTCCGTGGCCAGAAGTCGGTGTACGAGAAACACATGTGGGCGGTATGGGGAGTGGGGAGAGGGCGCAGGGTTTAAGGCGGGGGGGAGGAGAGAAAGGAGCAGTTGCCCTGAGAAAGATTCGGGGGACAGTGCTGTGGGGGACAGTGCTGTGGGGGCGCGAGTCAATCGCCCAGCAGTTGGTGTACGAGAAGAAGGTGCGGAGCTGGATGGCAGAGAGGAGGGGGAGGTGGAGGGGAGAATAAAGGACGGTGCTTTTGAACATGGAGCAGCGGAAGGGGCGTGAGCGAATCGTCCAGAATTCGGTGTAGGAGAAGCAGGGGTGGAGCCAGCCCCGCCCGCATCACCACCAGCATCACCACCAGCATCACCAGAAGCAGCACCAGAAGCAGCACCACCAGCAGCAGCACCAGAAGCCCGTTCACCTCTCCCTCACTGCCCCCTCTCAACCCCAAACCAAACCCACCGTCTGTCACCTTGCAAGAATCCAGCTTTCCAACAGCACCCTTTCTGTCATCCGTCACGCCAAAAGCATCCTCTATGGCCTCCGCCAGCCCCACCAGCAGCCCCTTCACAGCACCAGCAGCAGCACCACCAGCAGCACCAGCAGCAGCCCCACCAGCAACCCCACCAGCAGCCCCACCAGCAGCCCCTTCACCGCGCCCTGTCCCCTCGCTCTCACTTCATTTCACCGATTCAGTGACCCAGCACAGTGCTCTCACCTTGGCTATGTCCAGCTTCTCCACGGTTCCCTTGCCATCATCCGTCACGCCAAAAGCGCCAGCCGCATCAGCAGCCCCTTCACCACGCCCTCAGTGCCTTCAGTGCTACCTCGCCGCCGTCTCACCCCACCCACCCGTCAGTGGCGCGTCTCACCTTGGCGATATCCAGCTTTTCCACAGCCCCTTTCCCATCATCGCTCACGCCGAACGCGTCCTCTATGGCCTCCGCCAGCCCCATCAGCAGCGCCTTCCCCGCGCCCTCGCCCTCCTTCCCCCTCTCACCGCCGCCGCCGCCGCCGCACTATCGTTGCCACTCCCACTTGCGCTGCTTGGCACTTTCCCGGCCCGCCTCACCGCCTGCAGCGCCTGCTGCCTCCGCCGCTCCTTCTCCCTCTCCTTCTGTTCAATTTTTCTCCTTCTCCTTCTGCTCCTTTTCCTTCTCCTTCTCCTTACTCGTTGCCGAGTCTCCTTCTCTCTCTCTGTCTCCCCTTGCCCCCTCAGGAGCGTCACTGGGATTTGGCGGGTTTCGGCCGAACCAGCGGCTTCACTCTCGGCCTCCGAGCCGCCACCAGCAGAGGGCCCATCCTCCGCATTAACTCTCACGATTCGGCCTCCTGAATCCGCGGCTCCGCCTTTCCGGTCGTTCGCCTAATGTTGCTGCAAGACTCCGTATCCTCAGGGGATACTTCGCTCGGATTGGACGCCAGGGAAGTGTTGACGTGGAGGGACCTGCGAGGCAGCAATCCGTGAAGAAGTAAACGCGATGCGAGCGCGGGATTGCGGAAGTGCAGCTGTGAACCTTAGGGCGCCTTGGGTCGCCTACTAATGGCACCTAAGGGAACACATTCAACGGCACGCATTACGCTACTAAGGAAATTGCCGAGAAGCAACATGACAACGGAACTTACGAAAATGGTGGCCGCGGGTTTCAGCGGCGATTCTGCATCACATTCACTCGTTAGATTGCTCGTGGCGTATCTCTGAGGCAAAGAAGCTACCAGGCTAGCCATAATCGCGGTCATTGTCGACAGCGCCGGCTAAGACTCCAGGAAATGGCCTGGAGTCCAACGATACGCGAGCAGGAAGCAGAATTCGTAAGACCTCAAGGGAGATGTGCCAAACGGGGGGCTTCAGAATTCGTAAGACTTCAGTGACGGGGGCTTATGTAGGGAAAAGAATTGCAGTAATGGGCTCGAAAGAGATGTGCCAAACTGTACGTCTATCGAGCAGTACGAGGAACAGGCGGCGTCAGCATCAGGCTTAGGATGCTAAAAACAACGATGTCCTAGTACATAAGCTCAGAGCAAAGGCAAGCCCGTAGAGGATCTACCCTTGGACTAGGAGCCGCCATTACATGGCAATAGAATAGGCCAAGCATTGAATGCCCATTTTGGAGCGACTTGCGCGCCGAGCTAGCCCGGCTCGGAACTTTCGAGGCTCACGTGGAGCTGAAACGAGGAGATCTCATTGGCTTATCTGCGTGGCAAGAAGGTCTGGCGTCGCCAGGGTCTTGAGTCGAGGGCAAGCGGAACCAGGCTCGGAAACGTCGAGGCTCTCTCTGGGGAAAAGGAGCGAATCCTGAAGCAGAACGAAGGATAACAGGCGAAGATGCGATTCGTCGGATGGGGTTCGGTTACCGCCATGCCAAGGCGAAGGAACGCATCTCATTGGCTGTACTACGCCACCTCGTGGATACTCTGGGTGAATTCGAAATCCGGCGACCGACATGGAATTTGAATGTGGACATTGTCCAAGAGCTGATTCAGGCAGAGCTCACCTTCAGGTGTAGTACAGGTATGTTTAACTATGAGTATTGTTACATAGAACTTCCATTTCTTGCCGTAGCTGATCATAAAACACTGGTGAATTCTATTGAATATGGTGATTGATATATTGTTAGATGATATAAATGATAAACAATTAATACAATTTATCTTAGAAACGAAATATTTAAACTATAATCGGTTTACAGAAACAAAGGATGCTATGGGTGAACAGATAAAAAATGGGAAGAGTGAGAATAAAGGGGATGATATTTTTTTCCCTACCCGAAATTGAAAAGAATGGCCATCATCATCTCGGTAGTTCTATGTGCTTCCTATCCAGGCGGAGGGGTGTATTCATGTTGACAAAACCAACCTAGGGCTTGTCAATCGTGCTGACGGTTTGAACGGAGAATCCCAAACGCGGCGCTCGATTGTGTCACGATTCTCTTTCCTCCTCCACTTCCCTTTCTCATCTCACATCAACTGAGCGAGGAGAATCAAGAGATTATCAGGGCTGCCCTGTACTAAACCACTTCTGCTGAAGGAACTTGAGGTGTGTTTCTGCTTCTGCTACTTCATTGCCTGGTTTCAGGAAGCATTTTGTCTTCCAAATCATCACGCATATCGCCCGCCGTCTGCTAGGCTTGCTCTTGAACGAGCTGTGTGGAAATTAATCTGGCGGAAGGGGAAACTTGGGAAGTGAGGAAGGGGGGAAACCGATACCTCTGTGCATGACTGGAAAATCTAACCAAGGCTCGATTTACGTGTCCTTGGCACGGATATCACGGATGTCTTAACTTTTGTCTGTGCGTTGGGATCTAAAGGCGAAACGACGAGGAAGTGCACGGGGAAGAGAGGAGGCCTTTAAATCCCTCGCAGCCTGACGCTATCCAATCACAGGGGTTTGGGACTGGGAATTTTTTTGGGGAAAGAAAATTCAAGCAAAGGGATCATAATAATCGAGTACAAAGTACTATACAAGCCACTGATTTCGAAGGAACTTCCTGGACCGACATCGTATCAGCACCTGAGCCTCAGCTCAGCTCATCTCTGGAGTCGCCAACACGTGGTGCGAAAATAGTCTCGGGCTCCTGCAAAAGTTAATCAATCGAAATACATCACCAGGAGCAGTTGATTTGCTGGATACTTCGGTCTAGAGACATCCCGGAAATAAAAAGGTGCGTCGCAGAGCCGAGACACGAGGTCTGAGTAACGACGACTGCGGACTCGTCTGTCCGCTGAAATAATCGCAGAGAAGCGCGAGCCGCCTGTTCCGCCATTGTGGTCCGCGCCATTTGTTCGGGTGCTGTACGCCACGCTCAGGCGCTGCACGCAGTATGGCGGCCGACAATAATGAGGATAACTGGGCGACAGGTGACTCTGACGAGGGCCGGGAGGGCGGGACGGAGAGCGGCAGGGCGGACGCGGGGGCTGTGACACAAAACGGGGGGTGAGGAGGAAGCGGAGGCGGCGGAGGAGCAGCAGGGATACGCGGAAGAAGGCGACGAATATGCAGAGGAAGCGGGGGAGGAAGAGGACATGTACCAGGAAGGGGCTGATGGAGAGGAGGAGGGGATGTGGAAGTGTGGTAGCTGGGCAAGACGAAGAGGAGGCGCAAGGAGAAATGGAGGGTGAGGAAGGAGCGGAGGGTATGGGGGAGAGGTGGAGGGGGAGGGGGAGTGGGAGGATTGAGGGAGGGCGGGGAGGGGGACGAGGAAGATGTGGAGGTGTGGGTGGCTGGGGCGGAGGAGGCAGAGGAGGCAGAGATCGGAGGAGGAGGAGAGGGGCAGGTGGGAGGCGAGATGGGAGGGGAGGACGGAGGGATGGAGGCAGAAGGGGAGTGGGAGGAAGTGGCGGAGGAGGAGGCGGAGTATCCTAGATGGGCGAGTGATGCGCTGCTGGTCGTTTCTGGAGGAGCAAGGGGAGAGTGTGGTTGAGCCTCTGTACTGGTCTGCAGTGAAGAAGATAGTGGCGGGGTACATCCAGGCCAACGACCTCCAGGTGTGTGTGTGTGTGTGTGTGTGTGTGTGTGTGTGTGTGTGTGTGTGTGTGTGTGTGTGGTGTGCATGTGTGTGTGTGGGGGTGTGTGTGTGTGTATGCCTCTCTGTTGCAGCTTTATTCGCTTCTCTATGGTACTGATTTCTCTTGCGTATGTGCACAGGGCGACGTTACAGTTCCCTGGCAGTTCGCTGGCTTTGTTCACTAAATATTTATATACATATATATATTTATATATATATACTCATGTATATATTCATATATATACATATGTCTTTGTTGAGTTTCCCTCTCCCTTATTTTCTCTCTCTCCCCTCTTCTCTCCCCCTTGGCACTCGATTGCAGAGGGGCAAGTGGATCACATGTGATGATGCGTTACAAGCTCTCTGCGATACTGATAGTACCACGCAGGCCCAGTTCTACTACACCCTTGCCACGCACTACCCCGTTAAGAGCTCTGTTAAAGTGCCCCGGAGGCTGCTAAAGCGGCAGGCAGAGGAGGAGGCAGCTAAGATGCGAGGGGGAGACAAGGAGAAGGGGAAGGGGACACGTGGCGGTAAGGGGAAGAGGGCACGAGAGGGGGAGGAACAAGTGGAGGATGAGGAGGAGGAGGAGGTGGAGGAGGCGGACTTTGAAGGTGGGGGAACAGGGAGGAGGGGAGGGGAAGGGGAGAGGGAGAGGACGAGGGAGGGGCAGGGGGAGGGGAGGGGTAGTAGGGGGGGAGTGTGAAGAGAGGGGGTCAGAGGGTGACGAGGTTTGAGGAGCTGGAGGGTGAGGATACCGAGGGGGGCTATAGAGGAGGGGAGGAGAGGAGGATGGCAATGGTGATGGTGAGGGGGAGGGGCAGGAGGAGGAGGGGAAGAGGGAGGAGAGGAGGAAGGAGGAGGAGGATGGATGGGACAAGGATTGGAGTTCAAGGGAGGGAGTGACGCAAGAGCAGGAGATGGCAGAAGAAGATGCTGATGGGCAAATGAAGAATGCTAAAAGGCAGCAGCGTCGGCAGCAGCAGGACGAGGAGGCATACATTCAAGAGTTTGACGCAAGGCCTAACCCAGAGCCGAGCCCGGGACGCAAGAGGAAGCGCGGCCGCCCTCCAAGGCCTCCCGGGAGGAACCTCCCACCACAGCCCGAGCCCTTGATACCGCTCCCACTGCTGCAGCACCTCACTACACCGATCCGTTCGCCTCTGACCCTTTCTCCTCTCATCCAGACGCCCCGGAAGTCACAGACCCCTTTGCCTCCCCCCACGCTCCCCCCCCTCCCCCTCCTCCGCCTGCTCCCCTGGGCCCGGAGTGCGGTTACGCGGCGGTAACCCTGGCGAATCTGGGCGTGATTTTCCTCAAGAGGAGTCAGCTGGAGGGGCTGCTGGCGGACGAGCAGTTCGACCAGAAGGTGGTGGGCACGTTCGTGCGGATCAAGGTGCCCAGCCCCGCCAACCAGACAGAGGCCTGCTACCGACTCGTGAGGGTCACAGGTGAGACAAGGGGGTTGGGGCTGGGCTGCTGGCAGACGAGCAGTTCGACCAGAAGGTGGTGGGCACGTTTGTACGCATTAAGGTGCCCAGCCCTGCGAACCAGACAGAGGCCTTCGTGAGGTTACGGGTGAGAGAAGGGGGTTGGGGTTGGGCATGTGAGACGCAAACTGGAGGGGCTGCTGGCAGACGAGCAGTGGACCAGAAAGTGGTGGGCACGTTTGTGAGGATCAAAGTGCCCAGCCCTGCGAATCAGACAGAGGCGTGCTACCGGCTGGTCAGAGTCACTGGTAGGTGGTGGTGGTGGTGGTGGTGGTGCAGAGGGTTCAGGGTTTGGGGATTGGGGTGTGGGCAGCGGTAGGGGCACACAGCTGGAGGGGCTGCTGGCAGATGAGCTGTTCGACTAAAAGGAGGTGGGCACGTTCGTGAGGATCAAGTGCCCAGGCAGAGGCCTGCTGCTGACTCCTGAGAGTTACTGTTCTGTGGTGGCTAGGGTGGTAGGGAGGGCTGTTCGGTGGTCGGATGGGGTTTAGGGGCACAAGGGTAGTAGACGAGCAGTTGACCAGAAGGTGCTGGGCACGTTTGTAATAATCAAGGTGCCCAGCCCTGCCAACTAGACAGAGGTTTGTTACCGAATCGTCAGAGGCACTGGTAAGGAGGAGGGTTGGGGTGTTCGGGACCAGTGGTGGTATATCAGGGGCTTAACCAACCGAGTGCTGCTCATGGCGCTGCTTCACTGTGTGAATGCCTCTTACACACCACCCTCTTCCACCCGTCCAGGCTGCAGGAGCCAGACCGACATGTGCCCAGTGGGCAAGGGCTTGACCAACCGAGTGCTGCTCATCACGAGTGCTCCTGCCCCTTCTCTTGTCTTTCCCGCTTGGCACGTCTTTCCTGCGCCCCGTTTCCCATTCTTCCTACCACAGGCTGCACGAGCCAGACTGACATGTATCCGTTGGGCAAGGGGCTAACCAACCGCGTGCCGCTCAATGCTCATTATGAATGCTCCTGCCCCTTCTCGTCTTACCGGCTTCCCCCTTCCGTTTTGCCTCTTTCTTCCCTTTCATCCTACCACAGGTTGCACCAAGCAGGCAGACCGACATGTACCCGGTGGGCAAGGGGTTAACCAACAGAGTGCTGCAGCAAATGATGGACCACCTCTCTCTTCCCTCCCCACCATCATCCCTCTCCCATGCGTATATGCCAATTCAGGCTGCACGAGCCAGACCGACAAGTACCCCGTGGGCAAGGGGCTGACCAACCGCGTGCTGCCCATCGTGAATGCTCCTCTCTCTGCCCTCCCCTCTCGTGCTTCTCATTCTTCTTTTGCACCTCTCTATCTCCACCCCCCGGCCCTCACAGGCTGCACGAGCCAGACCGACATGTACCCCGTGGGCAAGGGGCTAACCAACCGCGTGCTGCTCATCATGAACCTCAAGACGCCTGAGGCCACCACCATCGACCTCGTCTCCAACTCCGAGTTCACCGAGGTGGGTGTATTTTGTGTGGGGGTAAGAACGAATGTGTGTGGAGAAGAGAGTGTGTGAGTGGGCAAGGGCGCCACCAACTGCGAGCTGCTCATTATGAATCTCAAGACGCCTGAGGCCACCACGCTCGACCTCGTCTCCAACTCCGAGTTCACTGAGGTGGGTGTGTGACTGTTTGTGTGTGGAGAGCCCTAGCGCGTTATTTCCCTCCCCATCGGGTTATTTCCCTCCCCATCTTAGGACGCTTTGGCCCACCACCTTCGACCTGAGGGGTGCGTGCTTCGTTTTCTCCCATCTTTGTCTTTTCCTCCTATCTCCTGTCTCCCTCTGCCACCGTGCCTGGCTCCTTTCGTCCCAGCCTTTCTTATCCTCCCCTGCCCCTTCCCCTCCCTCCCCCCAACCTCACAGGACGAGTGTGCAAAGCTGCGGCAGTACGTGAAGTGGGGGCTCGTGACCCACCTGGCAGTTATGTCTCTTGATCGCAAGTCCCGTTCACCCCCCTCCCCTTCCCCCCTCCCCTTCCCCCCCTCCCCTCCGCCCCTCTCCAAACACCTCCCAGGACGAGTGTGCGAAGCTGCGGCAGTACATGAAGTGGGGGCTCGTGGATCGACTCACCGTGGTACGTTCTTCTGTTCTGTGCCGCCATGTATCACATGCCATGCCATGCCATGCCATGCCATGCCATGCCATGCCATGCCGTGCCATGCCATGCCATGCCATGCCATGCCATGCCATGCCGTGCCATGCCATGCTGTTGAGTCGACTCTGAAGCTGTGGCTGTACGCCAAGTGGGGGTTTGTGGATCGACTTACTGTGGTACGTTCTGCCGTGATGCCATCCCTTGTGCCATGCGATGCCTTTCTGCACAATGCTGTGCTATGCTTTTGAGTCAACTCAGTAGCGGCGTGAAGTGGGGGCTCGTGCATCGACTCACCATAGCATGCCATGCCACGTCCCCTATTCCCCCCCCCCACCTTCCCCCCTCCGCCCCCCCCCACTTCCCCCCTCCCCCCTCCCCCTCCCCCTCCCCTCTCCCCTCTCTCCCCTCTCCCCTCTTCCCCTTCCCCTCTCTTCTTTGTCTCGCTGCTATCCTCTCTTCAGAACGCGTTGGTTGGCATGGAGATCGAGCTGGACAATGAAGGCTACTGTGCGGCGCAAGCAGCCAGCCAGCCAGCCCGGCACATGCACTGGCGCAGACTGATCCCCTCGTGATGACTTTTGAGTCGACTCAAAAGTCAGCAGCCAGCCAGCCAGCCAGCCCGGCACATGGTCTCGCACAGACTTATCCCCTCGTTCCGCTCTGCTCCCCGCTCTCCCCTGACTCCTCCCCCTCGTTTTGTTACAATCAGGACGAGGTGGCTGCCAAGGAGAACGAGCTGCACGAGCTCAAGCACAATCTGATGCGAGGCCTGGCCCCTCCCCTCCTTCCCCTCTTTGCGCACTGCACTGCACTGCACTGCACTGCACTGCACTGCACTGCACTGCACTGCACTGCACCTGCACTGCACTGCCGCTGCCGTGCCGCAAACGTAACGCCTCTTTTCTCTCCGCTCTCCCCTCATCTCTTCCCCCCCACCCCCTCTCGTTTTGATACCATGAGGACGAGGTGGTTGCCGCGGAGAACGAGCTGCACGAGCTCAGAGTGAATGATGTGAGGCGAGCAGCCAGACTGTCTGTCTCTTGTTCATTCTCCCCTCTCCCCATTTCCCTATCGCGTATCCCCTCTGCCCTCGCTTCAGGACGAGGTGGTTGCCAAGGAGAACGAGCTGCACGAGCTCAAAGTCAACGATGTAAGCTTTTCAATGCTCTATCAGTGGACATCAACGTTATGTATTACATGTGCTCTGTTATGACCCCCGGATTAGTCCCCCCACTTTCCTCCCACCCCCACTTTCCTCCCACTTTCCTCCCACTTTCCTCCCATTTTCCTCTCACCGTTTTCCCTCGTTTCTCCCCGGCTCTTCCCTTCCCCGCTGGCAGTGGTTGGAGTCGGAGCGAGTGAAGCTCACCAATCTCAGGGACAGGGCGAGCGAGCGAGGATCCAAGAAAGAATATCCTTCTGCAGCGATGCGATGCTACTCCTGCCCTTTCCTTTCTCTCTTATCCCCTACCCTACCCCTCTTGCCTTTCGTTTGCTCCCCTACCCTGCCACTCTCCCTCCTCCTTCTTACCCTTCCTTCTCTCAACCACTCTTCATTCTTGCCTCTCCCCTTGCGCTACTCTATCCTTTTCTCATGCCTTTTAAGGTTGCCATTCCCTACTTTTGAACAACCAGAACAAGCCAGCCTTCCTGTCCTGTGTGCTCCTTATGGTGTTGTGTACTTAATTCTTATATCCTCTGCTCTCCCCTCTCCCTTAGTTCGCTCTTTCCTTCTCCACTCCGCTTTCCACCGGTGACCCTCCTGCACCCACCTCTCCCTTTCCCGCATCCAAAGTTTCCCCCCGCGTTCTAATTCCAAACTCTCATGCTTTTCCTTAACCAAAGGACCACCCATCACCTGCCAACCCTTGACCCGGAATCCGCTGCTGTCTGAACCCTGACCCCTCGCCACGCAATGGGAGCGCGTGCAAGCATTGAAGGAGCTGGATAAGCCGGCCTTCCGAGCCAAGAAGATGGCCGAGTACCCGACCATCGAGGCGGACCCCGACTTGATGCACCTATCGACTGGTGACTCGGATGACGAAGGGAAGAAGAAGAGCTCAGGTGGGTGGGTTACTCTGTTGCAGGTGAGGTTGATAAAGGGGAGCAGGTGGGAGTGTCTGCCAGCCAAGGGTTGAAGGCTGGTAGCTGGGTTCAAGTGATAGAGTGTGTGAAAGCGCTGAAACAGCTGGACAAGCTCGACTTTTTTGAGGCGCCTTAAAAAATGAGACGATTTCTGAGGCGCCTAAAAATCGTAAAGTGATCAGAGTGTCTGCAAGCGCTCAAGCAGCTGGACAAGCCAGCCGTTGGAGGCGAAAACATGAACAGAGGTGGGTTACTGGGCTACAGGGTGGGAAAAGGGGAGAGAGCTTGGCTCTGAGTGCGTGCAAGCATTAAAGGAGTTGAGTTGGACAGGCCGGCTACTCGCGTGCCCACACCATCAAGACAGACCCTGACCTGATGCACTTAGGGATGGGTGATTTGAACGACCAAGGGGAGAAGAACATAGGTGGGCTGGTTGCTGGGTTTCGGGTTGGGGAGAGAGGGGGAAAGGGAGGGAATGAGTGTGTGCAAGCATAGGACAAGCCGGCCTTCCGCGCCGAGAAGATGGCCGAGTACCCGACAATTGATGCACCTGTCGACTGGTGATTCGGATGATGAGGGTGCGGAGAAGGGCAAAGGCGGGAAGGAGAAAGGGAATAGAGCGTGCACTCTGCTTTTGAGTCAACTCAGAAGCATTCCCATTCACGAACCACGCCCTACTCGTTCACTCATTCCCCCTCCACCCTTCCCACCGTCCCTCTTCCTCTTCCCGCTTCCGCCTTCCCCCCCTCTTTCCCCCCAGACCCCTGGAGCCAGGTCTCCCCCCATTCACGACTGAGGGGGGGGAGAGGAGGGGGGGAGTTCAGAGGGAGGGGGAGAGGGAGAGTGGAGTTCGGAGGGAGGGGGAGAGGAGACACTTGGGAAAGCGGGGGAGTGGGAGTGGGAGTGGAGAGAGGAGGGGAGAAGAGGGAGGTGGATAGTGCTATCCCCCTGTCTAGGTCGCTCTCTGGTTCTCGTTCCGAGGAGGAAGAGAGGAGGAGAGGAGGGTGGGGGCATGGGGAGAGAGGGGGTTGGAAGGGGAGCGAGAGGGAGGGGGATGGGGGGAGGTCTGACAGGGAAGGGGGGTGGAGGGGGAGGGGGAGGGGGAGTTCTGGGGAAGGGAGGGGGGATATGGGGCGTGAGAGGTGGGAGGACGAGGAGAGGAGGGGAGGGAGTGGAGGAGGGATGAGAAAGATGGGTGGGGCCGAGAGGGGAGAGAGGGGAGAGAGGGTGGAGGGATAGAGATGGGGAAAGGGAGGGAGAGGGGGCAGGGGTTGGGGCAGGGAGAAGGAAGAGAGGGATAGAGGATGGGGCCGAGATCGGGAGCGAGGCGAGAGGGGAGAGGGAAGGGAGGGAGAAGGAAGAGATAGGGAGGGGAGGGAGAGAGAGGGTGCAGGTGATAGGCATTGGAGGAGGGAGGGAAGCGGAGGGACTAGTGAAAGGGGCGAGGAGGGGGGTTACAGGAGAGTCGAGGGTACCTTCAGCGACACACACCAGCAGCAAAACCTGCAGCAGCAGCAGCAGCAGCAGCAGCAGCAGCAGCAGCAGCGGGAGGCAGAGTTAGAATCCGCCTGGCGAACACAACTGTCCCAGCTGGAGCAGCAGCAGCTGTGGCACTACCGCGACCCCCAGGGGGACCTGCAGGGGCCCTTCTCCCTGGCCCGCCTGCGCGGATGGCTGCCCCTTAACGTGTTCCCCGCTGATCTGCACGTGTGGCGCGCGGGGCAGGGCCAGGAGCAGGGGGTTCTGCTGGCGGATATTGCTGCGGGGAAGGTGGACCCGTTTCTGCCGGAAAAGCAGCAGTTCTGGGCTGCTGCCGGTGGTGCTGCTGGTGCTGGTGCTGCTGGTGCGGGTGGTGGCGGCGTTGGTGGTGGTGTTCCAAGCGCGGCTGCTGCTGCTGCAGGCGCTTTTGGTGGCGGCGGCAGTGTTGGGACAGGGTTGGCAGCAGCAGGAATTGGGGCAGCACCAGGGGCAGCAGCATTTAGTGTGCCTAGCGGTGGGGGAGTGGGGCTTATGGCACCTGAGGCTCCTCACGTCTCTCACGCGTCGCACATTCCCCAGGCTCCCCAGGTTTCCCAACCGTATGCTGGTGTGGGGCAGCAGGGCATGCCTGTTGCCCCTGTGACTGGTCCTGGTGGGGCAACCGGGGGTCCAGGAGTGGGGGGAGGAGGGGTGAGGGGTCAGGATGGCAAGGGGGGGGTGATGGAAGCGCGGGTTGGGGAGGAGGTTGGAGTGAGGGGAACAGGCAACCTTGGGGGGGAGGAGGACAGGGTCCTTCTGGGGAAGGTGCCTTCGCAGCAGGTGCTTCTGGGGTGGCTGCCCCTGCAGCAGGTGTTTCTGGCCCCGGGCCAGTGCCCCAGGGTGGTTGGAGGGAGGGGGGAGAGGGCGGAGCGTGGAGGGAGAGGAATGGGGGATGGGGGGGGGAGGGTGAGGATGGGGGTTGGAGGAGCCGAGGGGGAGGAGAGGGTGAGGAGGGGGGTTGGAGGAGCCGAGGTGGGGGGGAGGGTGAGGAGGGGGGTTGGAGGAGCCGAGGGGGGAGGAGAGGGACGGGGGAGAGGGAGTGAGGATTGGAGGGATGGGGGGAGGAGGGATATCTCATTTCGGGGTTCTGGAGGGGGAGAGAGGGGGGGTGATGAGTGGAGGAGTGGTGGTAGTGGGAGGTTTGGGGGCGGTGGAAGTGGGGGAGGAGAGGGTGATCGCTTTGTGTGCCGGTTCTTTGCCAGAGGGTTTTGTCGGAATGGGTCTAGTTGCCGCTTCAAGCATTAGAGCGAGACATCATGATTTTTTAAAGAGAATTCTTAGCGTAATCATAGGTTTAGGATAACAGTGTGACATAAGGTCATCTTGGCGCTGGTTGATTGAAAGTGACTAGTTTGGGAGTGTTAGATGTAAATTGCACTTGTGTTACATATAACGCTGCAGCTCGAGATCGCATTTCGCGCTATAACGAAGCATGATTCCTCCGTCGGTTTGGTGAAAGCTACCTAGGTCGCGTTCATATTTGATGTAGGCTGCAAAGTACGCGCGAGAATGACGCAATTATAGAATGTCAAGCACCACATTGTGCACGAAATGCGCATACTACAGCTCCTTGTGCCATCGACATTCGACACCACGCTGACACTCTCTGACTCTCACGGCAGTACCGAGGCAGTGAATACGTAGTCCAACTTTGATGGATGGTAGGTAGGTGAATTTGGCCCCGTCTCCTGCTGCCTCCCTCTCATATCGCCGAAGCATGTCGTTATCTGCATCTCCCCTTACTTCTCAGACTTCCCTCCAGCTCTCAACAGATGTTCTTATTGACTGATGCGTGACGATGGCAGCCGTAGGCTGACGTAGGTTGATCGTGCTCATCTGAATCGGCTGCATTGCACTCCGAATGCAGCGTACGAATCGTGGCGGGCTGCATGATTCCCAGTACGACTCAAAAGCTTGCTGTAGGCCGACCGTTCGGCCTGAGTTTAAGTTTATCGTAACGTTCTGTATCGTCTGCATTCGGGGGGACGGTAGTCATACCGAGGACTTAGACCTTTGATAAAGTAGTCTTTAGAATAGGTAGTGTGTTTCCGGGCGGCTCTTTTACCCCACAGTAATTGATACACGTTCCTCGTTCCTGTAAAGGGGACGGTGGTCATGCCGACGCCGTAGTAGACATTTGACCAAGTAAAGTTCAGAGTACAGTTTCCGATCGACCATTTTACCTCACAGTACTTGGTGCAAGATCCTGTGAGGGGGACGGTGGTCATGCCGACGCCGACGTAGACGTTGATCAAAGCAACGTTTAAAGTGCAGTTTCCGAACGGCCCTTTTACCTCACAGTGTTTGATTCACGTTCCTTGTTCCTGTACGGCGGACTGTGGTCATGCCGACGCCGTCGCGACAGGGAGGCAGTCCACGTGGCGGCACGGAGAGCGTCGCACAGGCGCTTCGCGAATGCGTGGACGACCCCGTGCGAGGCGTGCGACGGCTGGCGACGAGCCATGCTGCGATGCAGCTACAGCGCTCGGCGATGCTTTCGTACGAGACCGCTAAGAACAATGTGGGGGCCGTCTGGCGCAAGTACCAAAGCGGGGAGCTCTTTAACGCGAATACGGTCGAGGCTGTTAAAAGGTCAGTGATCGAGCACGTGAAAAGGCAAGCGATACGAGCTTGAAGTCAGCTACGTCGCGTGTGGAGATCTCTTTTGGAAAAGCTCAAGGTTACAAAATACTAATTTTAACAATCTTTTGAAGCCTAATAGAGGTCTGATCAATCGCGCGGGGCGCAGCTGGCAAGTGACCCAGCGAGGGAGAATACAGGGTGTTTCGCCGCTCGTTCTTGAGAGTGACTGGACGTTTACTTATTATGGGGGATTTACAGGTGGATACGCGTTGCTTGCACCCTCCGGAAACCTTCCCGAGCTTCTGATGGTGCACGTTGTGCGATGGCACGATGGCATAGCAGATGTTCTCTAAAGAGCACCGCATGGCAGGGCACCCTTCCCGTTCCCGAACCCTGAGCCTCCTCCCTCTGCCCACCGCACTTGTGAGAAGCGGATAGGCGCTCCCTCCCTCCTCAAAGGTTTCCCCAAAGTCTTCCTCCCCTCGCCCTCTCTTGCTGCGCTTCCTCCTCAGCGCGACTTTCGAGTCGACTCACAAGTCGCCCTCTCTGGATGCGCTTCCTCCTCTGGCCTGTGCTGCGTAACCTTCCTTTTTTAGGTGCCTCAAAAATCGACTCATCACGCGCGGATTTTGGAGGCGCGTAAAAGGCGGATGCGCTTCCTTCCTCCTCAGGCCTGTGCTGTGCAGCCGTCCCCTCTGGGCGTCTATATGGACGTCCCCTCTGGGCGAATATATGGACGTCCCCTCTGGGCGTCTATATGGACGTCCCCTCTGGGCGAATATATGGACGTCCCCTCTGGGCGTCTATATGGACGTCCCCTCTGGGCGAATATATGGACGTCCCCTCTGGGCGAATATATGGACGTCCCCTCTGGGCGTCTATATGGACGTCCCCTCTGGGCGTCTATATGGACGTCCCCTCTGGGCGTCTATATGGACGTCCCCTCTGGGCGTCTATATGGACGTCCCCTCTGGGCGAATATATGGACGTCCCCTCTGGCGTCTATATGGACGTCCCCTCTGGGCGAATATATGGACGTCCCCTCTGGGCGTCTATATGGACGTCCCCTCTGGGCGAATATATGGACGTCCCCTCTGGGCGAATATATGGACGTCCCCTCTGGGCGTCTATATGGACGTCCCCTCTGGGCGTCTATATGGACGTCCCCTCTGGCGTCTATATGGACGTCCCTCTGGGCGTCTATATGGACGTCCCCTCTGGGCGAATATATGGACGTCCCCTCTGGGCGTCTATATGGACGTCCCCTCTGGGCGAATATATGGACGTCCCTCTGGGCGTCTATATGGACGTCCCCTCTGGGCGAATATATGGACGTCCCCTCTGGGCGTCTATATGGACGTCCCCTCTGGGCGAATATATGGACGTCCCCTCTGGGCGAATATATGACGTCCCTCTGGGCGTCTATATGGACGTCCCCTCTGGGCGTCTATATGGACGTCCCTCTGGGCGTCTATATGGACGTCCCCTCTGGGCGTCTATATGGACGTCCCCTCTGGGCGAATATATGGACGTCCCTCTGGCGTCTATATGGACGTCCCCTCTGGGCGAATATATGGACGTCCCCTCTGGGCGTCTATATGACGTCCCCTCTGGCGATATATGACGTCCCCTCTGGGCGTATATGGACGTCCCCTCTGGGCGTCTATATTCTGGCGTCTATATGGACGTCCCCTCTGGGCGTCTATATGGACGTCCCCTCTGGGCGAATATATGGACGTCCCCTCTGGGCGTCTATATGGACGTCCCCTCTGGGCGAATATATGGACGTCCCCTCTGGGCGAATATATGGACGTCCCCTCTGGGCGAATATATGGACGTCCCCTCTGGGCGAATATATGGACGTCCCCTCTGGGCGTCTATATGGACGTCCCCTCTGGGCGTCTATATGGACGTCCCCTCTGGGCGTCTATATGGACGTCCCCTCTGGGCGAATATATGGACGTCCCCTCTGGGCGTCTATATGGACGTCCCCTCTGGGCGAATATATGGACGTCCCCTCTGGGCGTCTATATGGACGTCCCCTCTGGGCGAATATATGGACGTCCCCTCTGGGCGAATATATGGACGTCCCCTCTGGGCGTCTATATGGACGTCCCCTCTGGGCGTCTATATGGACGTCCCCTCTGGGCGTCTATATGGACGTCCCCTCTGGGCGTCTATATGGACGTCCCCTCTGGGCGAATATATGGACGTCCCCTCTGGGCGTCTATATGGACGTCCCCTCTGGGCGAATATATGGACGTCCCCTCTGGGCGTCTATATGGACGTCCCCTCTGGGCGAATATATGGACGTCCCCTCTGGGCGAATATATGGACGTCCCCTCTGGGCGTCTATATGGACGTCCCCCTCTGGGCGTCTATATGGACGTCCCCTCTGGGCGTCTATATGGACGTTCCCTCTGGGCGTCTATATGGACGTCCCCTCTGGGCGAATATATGGACGTCCCCTCTGGGCGTCTATATGGACGTCCCCTCTGGGCGAATATATGGACGTCCCCTCTGGGCGAATATATGGACGTCCCCTCTGGGCGAATATATGGACGTCCCCTCTGGGCGAATATATGGACGTCCCCTCTGGGCGTCTATATGGACGTCCCCTCTGGGCGTCTATATGGACGTCCCCTCTGGGCGTCTATATGGACGTCCCCTCTGGGCGTCTATATGGACGTCCCCTCTGGGCGTCTATATGGACGTCCCCTCTGGGCGTCTATATGGACGTTCCCTCTGGGCGTCCTATATGGACGTCCCCTCTGGGCGTCTATATGGACGTCCCCTCTGGGCGTCTATATGGACGTTCCCCTCTGGGCGTCTATATGGACGTTCCCTCTGGGCGTCTATATGGACGTCCCTCTGGCGTCTATTATTGGGAACGTTCCTCTGGGCGTCTATATGGACGTCCCCTCTGGGCGTCTATATGGACGTCCCTCTGGGCGTCTATATGGACGTTCCCTCTGGGCGTCTATATGGACGTCCCCTCTGGGCGTCTATATGGACGTTCCCTCTGGGCGTCTATATGGACGTTCCCTCTGGGCGTCTATATGGACGTCCCCTCTGGGCGTCTATATGGACGTCCCCTCTGGGCGTCTATATGGACGTCCCCTCTGGGCGTCTATATGGACGTCCCCTCTGGGCGTCTATATGGACGTCCCCTCTGGGCGTCTATATGGACGTCCCCTCTGGGCGTCTATATGGACGTTCCCTCTGGGCGTCTATATGGACGTCCCCTCTGGGCGTCTATATGGACGTCCCTCCGTCTTGGGGGCGTCTATATGGACGTCCCTCTGGGCGTCTATATGGACGTTCCCTCTGGGCGTCTATATGGACGTTCCCTCTGGGCGTCTATATGGACGTTCCCTCTGGGCGTCTATATGGACGTCCCTCTGGGCGTCTATATGGACGTCCCCTCTGGGCGTCCTATATGGACGTCCCTCTGGGCGTCTATATGGACGTCCCCTCTGGGCGTCTATATGGACGTCCCCTCTGGCGTCTATATGGACGTCCCTCTGGGCGTCTATATGGACGTTCCCTCTGGGCGTCTATATGGACGTCCCCTCTGGGCGTCTATATGGACGTCCCCTCTGGGCGTCTATATGGACGTTCCCTCTGGGCGTCTATATGGACGTTCCCTCTGGGCGTCTATATGGACGTTCCCTCTGGGCGTCTATATGGACGTCCCCTCTGGGCGTCTATATGGACGTCCCCTCTGGGCGTCTATATGGACGTTCCCTCTGGGCGTCTATATGGACGTCCCCTCTGGGCGTCTATATGGACGTTCCCTCTGGGCGTCTATATGGACGTTCCCTCTGGGCGTCTATATGGACGTCCCCTCTGGGCGTCTATATGGACGTCCCCTCTGGGCGTCTATATGGACGTCCCCTCTGGGCGTCTATATGGACGTCCCCTCTGGGCGTCTATATGGACGTCCCCTCTGGGCGTCTATATGGACGTCCCCTCTGGGCGTCTATATGGACGTTCCCTCTGGGCGTCTATATGGACGTCCCCTCTGGGCGTCTATATGGACGTCCCCTCTGGGCGTCTATATGGACGTTCCTCTGGGGTCTATATGACGTTCCCTCTGGGCGTCTATATGGACGTTCCCTCTGGGCGTCTATATGGACGTCCCCTCTGGGCGTCTATATGGACGTCCCCTCTGGGCGTCTATATGGACGTTCCCTCTGGGCGTCTAATGGACGTCCCTCTGGGCGTCTATATGGACGTCCCTCTGGGCGTCTATATGGACGTTCCCTCTGGGCGTCTATATGGACGTCCCCTCTGGGCGTCTATATGGACGTCCCCTCTGGGCGTCTATATGGACGTCCCCTCTGGGCGTCTATATGGACGTCCCCTCTGGGCGTCTATATGGACGTCCCCTCTGGGCGTCTATATGGACGTCCCTCTGGGCGTCTATATGGACGTTCCCTCTGGGCGTCTATATGGACGTCCCCTCTGGGCGTCTATATGGACGTCCCTCTGGGCGTCTATATGGACGTTCCCTCTGGGCCGTCTATATGGACGTTCCCTCTGGGCGTCTATATGGACGTTCCCTCTGGGCGTCTATATGGACGTCCCCTCTGGGCGTCTATATGGACGTTCCCTCTGGGCGTCTATATGGACGTCCCTCTGGGCGTCTATATGGACGTTCCCTCTGGGCGTCTATATGGACGTTCCCTCTGGGCGTCTATATGGACGTCCCTCTGGGCGTCTATATGGACGTCCCCTCTGGGCGTCTATATGGACGTCCCCTCTGGGCGTCTATATGGACGTCCCCTCTGGGCGTCTATATGGACGTCCCCTCTGGGCGTCTATATGGACGTCCCCTCTGGGCGTCTATATGGACGTTCCCTCTGGGCGTCTATATGGACGTTCCCTCTGGGCGTCTATATGGACGTTCCCTCTGGGCGTCTATATGGACGTTCCCTCTGGGCGTCTATATGGACGTTCCCTCTGGGCGTCTATATGACGTTCCCTCTGGCGTCTATATGGACGTCCCCTCTGGGCGTCTATATGGACGTTCCCTCTGGGCGTCTATATGGACGTCCCTCTGGGCGTCTATATGGACGTCCCTCTGGGCGTCTATATGGACGTCCCTCTGGGCGTCTATATTATGGACGTCCCCTCTGGGCGTCTATATGGACGTCCCTCTGGGCGTCTATATGGACGTCCCCTCTGGCGTCTATATGGACGTCCCTCTGGGCGTCTATATGGACGTTCCCTCTGGGCGTCTATATGGACGTTCCCTCTGGGCGTCTATATGGACGTTCCTCTGGGCGTCTATATGGACGTTCCCTCTGGGCGTCTATATGGACGTTCCTCTGGGCGTCTATATGGACGTCCCTCTGGGCGTCTATATGGACGTTCCCTCTGGGCGTCTATATGGACGTTCCCTCTGGGCGTCTATATGGACGTCCCCTCTGGGCGTCTATATGGACGTCCCCTCTGGGCGTCTATATGGACGTCCCCTCTGGGCGTCTATATGGACGTCCCCTCTGGGCGTCTATATGGACGTCCCCTCTGGGCGTCTATATGGACGTCCCCTCTGGGCGTCTATATGGACGTTCCCTCTGGGCGTCTATATGGACGTTCCCTCTGGGCGTCTATATGGACGTTCCCTCTGGGCGTCTATATGGACGTTCCCTCTGGGCGTCTATATGGACGTTCCCTCTGGGCGTCTATATGGACGTTCCCTCTGGGCGTCTATATGGACGTTCCCTCTGGGCGTCTATATGGACGTTCCCTCTGGGCGTCTATATGGACGTCCCCTCTGGGCGTCTATATGGACGTCCCCTCTGGGCGTCTATATGGACGTCCCTCTGGGCGTCTATATGGACGTCCCCTCTGGGCGTCTATATGGACGTCCCCTCTGGGCGTCTATATGGACGTCCCCTCTGGGCGTCTATATGGACGTCCCCTCTGGGCGTCTATATGGACGTTCCCTCTGGGCGTCTATATGGACGTCCCCTCTGGGCGTCTATATGGACGTTCCCTCTGGGCGTCTATATGGACGTCCCCTCTGGGCGTCTATATGGACGTTCCCTCTGGGCGTCTATATGGACGTTCCCTCTGGGCGTCTATATGGACGTTCCCTCTGGGCGTCTATATGGACGTCCCCTCTGGGCGTCTATATGGACGTTCCCTCTGGGCGTCTATATGGACGTTCCCTCTGGGCGTCTATATGGACGTCCCTCTGGGCGTCTATATGGACGTCCCTCTGGGCGTCTATATGGACGTCCCCTCTGGGCGTCTATATGGACGTTCCCTCTGGGCGTCTATATGGACGTTCCCTCTGGGCGTCTATATGGACGTCCCTCTGGGCGTCTATATGGACGTCCCCTCTGGGCGTCTATATGGACGTCCCCTCTGGGCGTCTATATGGACGTCCCCTCTGGGCGTCTATATGGACGTCCCCTCTGGGCGTCTATATGGACGTCCCCTCTGGGCGTCTATATGGACGTCCCCTCTGGGCGTCTATATGGACGTCCTCCGTTCCAACCTCGCCAGCAACCCTCCCACCTTTACTCGCTTACCCCACATGCCGTTCCCATGGTCCTCCTACCAAGTGCCCACCCCCATCAGATTCTTCCTAGGCCTGGCCAATAAAGCACGTTCCTGGACAGGTGGTCACTGGTCAGGTGGACACTGGTCAGGTGGTCACTGGTCAGGTGGTCACTGGTCAGGTGGTCACTGGTCAGGTGGTCACTGGTCAGGTGGTCACTGGTCAGGTGGTCACTGGTCAGGTGGTCACTGGTCAGGTGGACACTGGTCAGGTGGTCACTGGTCAGGTGGTCACTGGTCAGGTGGTCACTGGTCAGGTGGACACTGGTCAGGTGGTCACTGGTCAGGTGGTCACTGGTCAGGTGGTCACTGGTCAGGTGGTCACTGGTCAGGTGGTCACTGGTCAGGTGGACACTGGTCAGGTGGTCACTGGTCAGGTGGTCACTGGTCAGGTGGTCACTGGTCAGGGCTCATCATCTCTGCATCTCTTCTGCGACCATCCTCGCTCCGTCTGACCGTTCATTCAACTCAACTCAACACGTTTTTCGTTCCCCCCTCCCTCCCCCGTCTCCCCCGCATCCTCAACACGTGCGCGCTAAACCTGGCTGTATAAGCGTACGTGCAAGTGGGCAGGGCCCATGTTGTCTGCATACACACACTCTCTCCCTTCCCCGCTTCCTCTCTTTCCCCCGTTTCCCCCTACTCTCACCAGATACGCTCTGCACCTGGCTGCTCAGGGTAACGCCCAGGCGGGCAGGGCCCATCTCTTCCGCGTGTACTCTCTCTCCAGCCTCCCTCCTCCCTCTCCCACCGTCTCCCCTCCTCTCCTACCCCGCATTCCCCCCCTCGCATTCCTTCCAGATACGCCCAGGCTAAAGATCTGCACTCCTTTTTATATCTGGCTGCTAAAGCACACATGCAAGTGGGCTGGGCAGGCAGGACTCATCTCCTCTGCGTCCACACTCTCTCCCGCCCTTCTTCCCCCCTCGCCTCGTCGTCCTCTCCTCTCCTCCCTCACTCTCCTCCCTCACTCTCCTCCCTCACTCTCCTCCGCTTCCTCCTCTGGTCCTCCCTCCCTCCGCCTTCCTGTTCCCCCAGCATCTCAACAGATACACTCTAGGCCTGGCTGCTAGACCACACGTGCAAATATGCAGGGCCCATCTCTTCTGCGTCCGAACTCTCTCCCGCCGACTGTTCACTCCACTGAACACGCTTCGCTCGCTCTCCTCCCTCCCTCCCTCCTCCCTCCCTCCCTCCCTCCCTCCCTCCCTCCCTCCCTCCCTCCCTCCCTCCCTCCCTCCCTCCCTCCCTCCCTCCCTCCCTCCCTCCCTCCCTCCCTCCATCGCTCCCTCCTCTCTCTCCCCCACCAGATACGCTCTAGACCTGGCGGCTAAAGCACACGTGCAGGCGGGCAGGCCCATCTCTTCTGCATGCAAACTCTCTCCGTTCCCTCCTTCCTCTACTTCCCCTTTCCCCCAACTTCAACCACATACGCCCTAGATTTGGCTGCCAAAGCACACGTGCAGGTGGGCAGGGCCCATGTCTTCTGCGTGCACTCCCGCCAAGTGACTGTTTTCTCAACTCAAGACGCTTCAATCGTCCTGCCTCCCTCCCTCCCTCTGCTCTCTTCCCCACCAGATACGCCCTAGACCTGGCAGCTAAAGCACACGTGCAGGTGGCAGGGCTCATCTCTTCTGTGTCCACTCCCTCTCCCGCCTCCCTCCCCCTCTCATCGCCCCCCTCCTCTCCTCCCTCACTCTCCTCCTCCTCTTCCTCCTATGGACCTCCCTCCACTCCCCCACCACCCAAGTCTCGCAATTCGCCCCTCCCTCCTCCCTCTCACCGCTCTCCACCTCCTCCTCCTCCCTCGCCTCTCTCAACCCATCGTCTAGCATATTCACTGCGTGTCAAGACCTGCTGGCGGCACACGGTAGGGCTGTGAGCGTAGCAGTTGGGGGGGATGAGGGAGGGCCAGGGGCAGCAGCAGCCGTAGCTGCTGCTGCTGCTGAAAACGCCGCTGCAACTGCTGCTGCTACCACCCCTGCTGGGGCATCCGGTCCTAGCAACACCACTGATGAACCCTCCACCAGCCAAGACCCATCACAACCAGCACCACCGTCGCCAGCACAACCCAAACCCATCATTCCCGGATCTGCCCTCCTCACACCAGACTCCCTCACATCCTTCGAGCAGCGCTACGAGTGCCTCGCCACGCAGGGCATCTGGGACCTAGACCCCGTCCCCCGCCCGCTCCCCTGGTTCAAACTCCGCAAGGGGTGGTCCGGGTGGGAGTGCGATGCCGCCTGGTCCCGCCAAGCCTCGGAAACCGGCAACCTGGCCTTTAGCGCCGCCGATGCTGTGGCCGACGAGGCTCGGCACGCGAAGGAGTGGCAGGTTCGGGACGCGGTGAAGTACCGGTGGCGGGCGCATAGGCGGTGCGGGCGGTGGGGGCGGTGGATAGGGAGGTCTGGCGGGGAGGCTGGCGGGGCGGAAGGTGCTGATGGTGGGGGATGCCACTAGCGCCATGCTGTATCTCTCGCTCAGGAATCACCTGCTCATGCCGGGAGGTGGAGGAGGAGGAGGGGGAGGGGGAGGAGGAGCAGGAGGAGGAGCAGGAGGAGCGGGAGGGTAGGAGGAGGAGGAGGTGAAGGAGGAGCAGCAGGGAGTGGGAAGGGAGGAAGTGGGGGCTATGAAGGCCTAGAGCATCTCATAGTGGTGCGAGACGAGGTGCCGGATTTCTGTGCGAGGCTGGACCTGCGGCAGCAGCAGGACTTCCCAGTGTGCACGCAGATCACCTTCGGGGTGCAGATCCCGAGGGTTCCTGCGGACTCCGCATCTATCCTCTTCGTTCGGGACGACATCCTCCGAACCTCGCCCGCCAATCCGACCCTGCGGCTCAGGATCCGAGCGCCGGACCTGCTGACGCTCCGGCCCTCTCTTTGCCTTGGTTCGACCAAGTGAACAGTACATTTCCGTGCTTATACTGAATCGCGGGACGCACTTTGTCGAGGATGAAAGGTTCATCCCCAGCTGAACGAAACCCTCACCAAAGTGCGGGCGGCGGCTCCTGACCTCCTCATAATTTACCGAAGCACGCCGCCCGGCCACGCGCACTGCGACCAGCTCCTCGCACCAATCACTGAGCGCCAGGACGCCTCGTCTCTTCCCAACCACTGGGGGAGCTTGCCGCCCAGAATGAGTGGGCGAGGCGGCTGGTGAAGGGGGTAGGAGGGGTGTTCCTGGATGTCGATCCGATGACTGCTCTGAGACCTGATGGGCACATTCGCCCGCCCTCTGACTGCCTGCAGTACTGCCTGCCTGGGCCCCGGATGAGTGGACCAGGATGCTCTACCACATGCTGCTGGACTTGCTTTGACCTTCTTTTGGTTGACCAGGGTTGAATTGATTTTACTGCATATGTACCCCCAATGAGTGGACCAGGATGCTCTCCCACATGCTCTGCTTTGACCCCAGTTGACCTGGGTTGACCTGCAGTGACCTGGAGTGAGGGGGTTGTCGTACGATGTCTGGTCTGGGTTTACACTCGGGAGGGATGCACGGTACCGGTAGTATGTTGGACAACCCTGCTGACATGCACAGTATTGGCTGGCTGGCCTGCCGTGTTTCCTGCTTTTGTTCGGCTTCTGCTTCTTATCTGTCATTCGGATTACCCACTACTGTGAAAGCTTGCTTAGGTCCTCTTGTAAAGGCAGCGAGCTTCATTTCATCTGGGTAACATACCGTAAACGCTCGGATAGGAGACCCCTATGTCTTATCATATACCTACCGACCTAAGAAGTGGTGAAATATGAGAAATTTTTGTAATGAACAATTTACAGATTGTGATTCGACTAGAAGAGGAGTTTGCTGTAAAGGAGACAAACTCCTTCATCTATCGGCAGGTCTTTCAGACCTGCCACCTAGTCTCATTTGCATTTTTCTGTTCCAACTTGCATACCACCAGCACACTCTAAACCAGGCCCTAGATTGGTTTTTAGGAGCCCTGATCGCTCAGGATTGTGACACGACCTCAGAGGAGTGTGCAGTGCAGTCGTCATAGGTGCAGTGCAGTCGTCATAGCATATCATAGCTCCATAATACAGCACACTAGATAGGGCAAATACATGGCAAGGGAACAAGGCTGAACGGCCATGCTAGTTATCAAAGCGAGGGAGGGAAGGGTGGGCAAGTTGGAACAGAAAAATGCAAATGAGACTAGGTGGCAGGTCTGAAAGACCTGCCGATAGATGAAGGAGTTTGTCTCCTTTACAGCAAACTCCTCTTCTAGTCGAATCACAATCTGTAAATTTTACATTACAAAAAATTTCTCATATTGTGACACGACCTCAGAGGAGTGTGCAGTGCAGTCGTCATAGGTCGAACGAGACATCAAGTGTGAGGGCGTCGACGGTGGCGCTCAAGGGTGGCCTGGTACCGATCGGTCGCGCTCGAGCGAGTAGGATCTTGTAGCATGCGAGAAGCGGCCACTAGCTCGCGGTCAAGCTGAGTAATGTAAAGCTCCTTGGCTGTATCACTTCGCCAACGGCCGAGGGCCTTGAAAAGCCGGTCGGGGACTCCAACATCAACGGCGACCGTCGCAGCTGCCTTGCGGAAAGAATGGGTGCCATGAGGGCTGGGTTGAGGCCGACACGGGAGAAAGCATCTCGACACAACCCCGAATGGCGGCGTACGAGGGAGGGCGATCTGAGGGGGAAGCTCTGGCACCTGGCTGAAATATACGAATAAGGGGGCCAAGGGTCTGCGGAGAATAGCCAGCCAGGAAGAGGAACTGTTGGACACGCGACACCGGACAGTGGCGGCAGAAGAAGCAGCCACTGGGACCCAAACACCGGTGCCCGCTTGGTCGGTCTTCGAACGGGGGATGAACAACCACATGCAGTCCCGATCGAACTCGATCTGGTGCCACTGGAGGGAGATGAGATCAGAGAAACGAAGGAAGGCTGCGAACATGAGGAGGGGAATAAGGCCCCGTTGGAATGTGGCCGGATCATGCGAGGAGAAGTGGAGGTCACAGATATCGTAAATCTTGGCTGGAGGAATGGGCTCTTTCGCTTGAGATGGCTTGCCACAATGACGCATGGCATAATCCTTGACTTGCGAAGAAAAGGGGCCGCGAATCGGGGAGGGGTGGCCGACCAGCCAATGGGCGCAGGATATGGCGGAACACGCAGTGCGCACAGCTGAGACGGTAGCGCCGCGACGGACCGAGTGCAGCAGAAAGAGGGCCGATGTCAGGTCGGTGGCGAGAAGGAAGGGAAGTGAGTGCGCCAAACAGAAGGCTCGAAACTGTCGCCAATAGGGTTCATAAGTGCGAAGGGTAGACTTTGCCCGAAGATCGACGGTGAGTGTGAGAAGGTCCGACAATAATCGACCAATATATGAGCCTGCGCAGTGAAATAAAATGCTACATTAGTTGAATGCAAAACGAAGCGCATACATTGGAGAGTTCGGAAGACCGGCACCGCTAAAGGCATAACGGTCACTGCCAACACGTAAACAACTAGCACCCAGGGTAAGGCGAAGGGCCATAACGACCTCCGGGCCCCAAGTGAAGCCGTCCAGGCTTAGCAAAGGCCACCAAAAAGCACTAGGCCAATATGGGGATCACGAGAGTGAAAGAGTGCGCGAGCGACGGGCATGAGTTTAGGACAGCCGGGATGAGGGCGGGTGGAGGAAAGGCGAAGCAATTCTCGTGTCCCCAGTTAATAGAAAAGGCATCTTGCGCAAACGCCGAGTGTGAGAACTCGAGGGAGCAGAAACGAGCGAGCTGCGCATTGGCAGGGGATGCAAACAAGTCGATGGTATGAGGCCCCCAATGTCTCTCCAGCAGCAGAAACCAAGGACGTGTCAAGGAGTAGTCGTCGTGGAGATCAATCTTGGACAGAGCATCGGCCTCAGTATTCAGCGCACGGGGAATCCATTGGACCGTGAGGACGGATCATATGGCGCACGCACAATTGAATAATTGCGCGGCATACGAAGGTAAGCTCGGGACGGCGAGAGCCTCCCTTCTGGAGGATGTAGTAGGCCGCCTGACTGTCGCTGCGGAGCAAGATGTGCGAACGCCGGATTTCGACAGAAAAGGCCGAAAGGGACCAAAAGATTCCGGCCAACTCGCGAAGGGTACTGGACGAGCCCAGAAGGCTAGAGGCAGCGGGAGGAGAGCGAGGCGACACGACCATCCGGCGCGGAATTAACAAGCCCCCAGGCATGGTCGCTAGCATCCACGTACATGACAACGTCGTACAAATGCGGGTTGTGGAAGCGGGCGCCGTTGAAAATGTCGAACTGTGTGAGCAAAAAACGCAGCTCTTCAACAGACTCAGGGGTTAGGAGAATGGCCGCCCCCCATGAGTGGCATTCGGCGATCTGAGCGAGAAGGTGGTGGGAGAAGGCGCGCGCGACGGTGCCAAGTGCCAAGGACATGGAGGCCAACATGTCGGTGATGCGGGCAACGCGGCGAACAGGGATGCGACCCCGTTAGCGCCGAGTGTGCCTAATTCATCCAGCTCGGCAAACAGCCGATCGCGCCGATCCGCATCGACAGAGAATGTGGTGGTGCGCGTGTCCATCAAGAGGCCCAAGAACTTCAAAGATTGTGCTGGCGCGAGTTGTGATTTTTGAAATTCACTACGAAGCCCGTGGCTGCAAGGTCGGCGATGATTATGGAGCGGTTGTGAAGTGCCTTTGTTCGAGTGGCACTAATGAATAGGATATCATCGACGTATGGAATAAGGCGGATGCCACGACTACGCCAGCGTTGGAGAGTTGCTTAATTAACTGGGTAAACACAAATGGCGCTGTAGCCAGTCCGAAAGGCAAGGAGAGGAATTGGTAGTCCTGCCCTTGCAGGGAGAATCCGAGAAACCGCCAAAAGGCGGGGTGAATGTCGACGTGGTGGTACCCAGATTTGAGATCGATGGTGAATAGCCAATCGCCTTCTTGCACCAAATCAGGAACGCGAGTAAGTCCTTCGTATCGAAAACGACGCACCGAGAGGAATGAGTTGACATGCCGCAAGTCCAATATCAGCCTCTTTTTAGAGGGTTGGACAATCACGTTTAATGGGCTAAACGCATGTAAGGGTTGCGGAAGGAGGTACGACCCGAGCTGGCGCCGGGTGGCGAGAAGCTCGGCCACTGCACCTACAGTGAAAGATGTGAATTGCAAGGCACCAGCATGATTCTTAGTACGAGACGGGGGGGGGCTCAGAGGCAACCCATGGTAGGCGATATCCAGATGTAATCACCGATAGAATCAAGTGGCTGTCGCACCAGGCGGACCACCATGCAGCGCGGTCACGGAGGCAGCCTTGCATGCGGGTAATCTTGGTTGCGTCATCGGCATAGGCCGAAATGGTTTCGAGCTCTGGTGGGAGAGGGAACACAAATAGGGACGGTAGAGAGTCAGGAAGGTGCTTCACCTCTTTAGTTCCGACCTCAACAAGGGAGTTTTTTTTTTTTTTTTTTTTTTTTTTTTTTTTTTTTTTTGTCGGGAAGGAAGGCAAAACGCTAATTATAGGTGCCCACTCGCTCGCTATTCTTCGGCCACGTCATCCCTCAAGTAATAAACCATTGGATTGGGCATGTCAACTTGGCATACTGGGCTGTAGTTGGTGGTCAGTATATGGTGATGACATAGAAATCTTGTCATGAGTCTTATCAACGGCAGTCTGTAGAGGACGCACACACATTGTGTAAGCGTCTTGTGGCACGTTCATGTCTTCTTGCACAGGCCCAACGGGCGAGACCATGTGGTCGTATGACATGGTATTAATCTTACTTGAGTGCAAGAATATGTGTGTATGTTGTTGTTGTTGTTGTCTTTTCTTTTCTTTTCTTTTTTTAAAATATTAAGAACGCTACAACATCGAGAAGGTTAAACAATCGTTAACACAATCTTAGCCGGCCGATTGGCCCCTTGGCCCCTTTGGGGGCAATTAGCCATCCCATGCCCGGGTTCACGACAATAGAAACAACGGCCGTCGCCGTCCCTACGCCATGTGTTCCAAAGGCGCTCCCCTTGGCCTCGAGGGCGAAGAGGGGGTTCAGGACGGGATGTGGAATGGGTGGGCCGAGTGGGCCTCTTCTTGCTAGCCGCTACAATCTGAGAAGCAGCCTTGACATTCTTATCCTCTACCACTTCCCCGTACTTAATCTTAAGGGCCATATTGGCCACTTCAAAACGCGTTGATCGGCGGTAAACAAAAAATGAATCTTTCTTCCGCCTCCTCTACTATCTGCTGGAGATAGTCGGCGGCTTGTTCACCACCATCAGGTGGTAAAACCGAGATAGCATGACGTGCAATAGCTTGAATGCGCTCAAAACTAAAAAGTTGCGTACGAATGCCATCGCTTTTAACTAAGGAAGAGCGCAACTGAGGACGTGCAGGTGGAATAGGAGCAAGGGCGAGCGCTGCAGAAGCGGATTTTGGGCGGGCAGCATTACCTTCGTCGAGCGTGGCATGGGGTGCTTCCTCGTCCATTTCGTCGTCCACGGGCTCGGGGGCGGGCGCCGGGAGGCGAGAGCGTGGGGCTGCCGCCACTGCGACGCGTGCTGGTTCCGGAGGCGGTGCTGGATCGGCGCCATTGCCACGCTGGAGCGCCGCAAGAAGACCAAGAACGTGGTGAATGGCCTCATTGTTGGTGCCGGCGTAAACATTATTGTCGGTGTAGCGAGCAGAATTATTTTCTGCAGAATGAGGCGCTGTGGATGCAGTGGAGCGTGCTGTAACGCGTTCGCCAGCAGCAGCTCCTGTGAAGATTCGCTGAAGATTGCGCTGGGCTGCAGGATCCAGGCGCGCAATCATTTCGGCGATTTCTGCTTCCAGGGGTCGAGATCTGCGGATTTTCGCGCGGATTCGCTGCAGCAGGGGAAAATCCGTCCGGCGATCTGCGCGATCCCGGTCCCGATTCTGGCGATCCTGGCGAATCTGGGGCGCTGGGGCGTTGAGATCGCGCTCATGATGACACCCTGCGCGCGCAGGATCACGATCATGATTGTGGTCCTCGCGCACAGGACCGTCATGATTGCGTTCGGTAGGTGGGGGCGTGACGGGGCATTTTCGGCAGGCGGGTTCGTGTCGACACGGTTCTGCTCGTTACGCCGCTCGCCTTGAAATCCGGGGGGAAGTCGCGATTGCGTGACGTGTTACGATCCGCGTCCCCCGCCGCGTTTTCGACGTGCTGAACAGGGTCTTGACGCGCGCCACTCAGCAAATCCAAAGCGGTAACGGCGCCGTTACCTCCGCCAGGACGAGGAGAACGAGAGCGTTCTCTATGCTGAGAGGAAGAGTTTCGGTCCCCTCACGTACAGGGGACCCACGCCTTCCACCACTCCTAGTATTCACGCGAGGAGCGGGAGGCCTACCACTTGCAGCGGAAATAAGTCCGCTGACCATTGTAGAAAATCTAACAGAAAAAACGTCTTGCAGCAAGAGACTCCTATGCCCAGATCTGGGCATAAGAGAGGTTTAGAGTGTGCTGGTGGTATGCAAGTTGAAACAGAAAAAGCAAATGAGACTAGGTGGCAGGTCTGAAAGACCTGCCGATAGATGAAGGAGTTTGTTTCCTTTACAGCAAACTCCTCTTCTAGTCGAATCACAATCTGTAAATTTTTCATTACAAAAAATTTCTCATATCCCCCCTGAGTTTTTCTCTGATTTTTCAGGGTTGGTCCCAAAAAAAATCCTCGTGAATCAGGACTCCTAAATATTTTTTTCCTGAGCAGACAGAGTTACTTATGGAGTTTTTCCTGATTTCTTAGAGGTTCTTAGCGCATGCTTTAGTAGCGAATTTATGCTTGCAGGGTGAATCGGGTCAGGTGGGCGAGATTGCAGGGGCTGAGGGAAATTTCGCCCATACAAAGCTCCAAGGAACACATCGGGCCCAAAATTTGGCTAAGGACCAAGTTCCCTCCCTCACACTGCCCCCACGCGTCGAGCCACGAATTTGGTGAAGGGCCAATAAGTGCCCTCACAGAGCCTGGAGGGCGGGCCAGAACCTCGGAAATCTCTGCTGGCCCCCAGGTCACGCATGGACGGAAACAAGTACAGTTTCGTTGCAAAGCTGAAAATTCAAGATTCGTTAAGAAAACTTTGCTTAGCAATCAGAGTTGACCCCCCAAAAAAGGCTGAAAAAACAGGAAATGCCTTTCGAAAAATCCTGGACAATCAGGACTGGTACCAGCAACAACTCTGTTTTTTTCCTGAATCAGGAAAATTTTCCTGCAATCTAGGGGCCTGCTCTAAACCTCTCTTATGCCCAGATCTGGGCATAGGAGTCTCTTGCTGCAAGACGTTTTTTCTGTTAGATTTTCTACAATGGTCAGCGGACTTATTTCCGCTGCAAGTGGTAGGCCTCCCGCTCCTCGCGTGAATACTAGGAGTGGTGGAAGGCGTGGGTCCCCTATACGTGAGGGGGACCTAAATTCTTCCTCTCAGCATAGAGAACGCTCTCGTTCTCCTCGTCCTGGCGGAGGTAACGGCGCCGTTACCGCTTTGGATTTGCTGAGTGGCGCGCGTCAAGACCCTGTTCAGCACATCGAAAACGCGGCGGGGGACGCGGATCGTAACACGTCACGCAATCGCGACTTCCCCCCCGGATTTCAAGGCGAGCGGCGTAACGAGCAGAACCGTGTCGACACGAACCCGCCTGCCGAAAATGCCCCGTCACGCCCCCCACCTACCGAACGCAATCATGACGGTCCTGCGCGCGAGGACCACAATCATGATCGTGATCCTGCACGCGCAGGGCGTCATCATGAGCGTGATCTCAACGCCCCAGTGCCCCAGATTCGCCAGGATCGCCAGAATCGGGACCGGGATCGCGCAGATCGCCGGACGGATTTTCCCCGTGCTGCAGCGAATCCGCGCGAAAATCTGCAGATCTCGACCCCTGGAACAGCAGAAATCGCCGAAATGATTGCGCGCCTGGATCCTGCAGCCCAGCGCAATCTTCAGCGAATCTTCACAGGAGCTGCTGCTGGCGAACGCGTTACAGCACGCTCCACTGCATCCACAGCGCCTCATTCTGCAGAAAATAATTCTGCTTGCTACACCGACAATAATGTTTACGCCGGCACCAACAATGAGGCCATTCACCACGTTCTTGGTCTTCTTGCGGCGCTCCAGCGTGGCAATGGCGCCGATCCAGCACCGCCTCCGGAACCAGCACGCGTCGCAGTGGCGGCAGCCCCACGCTCTCGCCTCCCGGCGCCCGCCCCCGAGCCCGTGGACGACGAAATGGACGAGGAAGCACCCCATGCCACGCTCGACGAAGGTAATGCTGCCCGCCCAAAATCCGCTTCTGCAGCGCTCGCCCTTGCTCCTATTCCACCTGCACGTCCTCAGTTGCGCTCTTCCTTAGTTAAAAGCGATGGCATTCGTACGCAACTTTTTAGTTTTGAGCGCATTCAAGCTATTGCACGTCATGCTATCTCGGTTTTACCACCTGATTGTGGTGAACAAGCCGCCGACTATCTCCAGCAGAGAGTAGAGGAGGCGGAAGAAAAGATCCATTTTTTGTTTACCGCCGATCAACACGGTTTTGAAGTGGCCAATATGGCCCTTAAGATTAAGTACGCGGAAGTGGTAGAGGATAAGAATGCCAAGGCTGCTTCTCAGATTGTAGCGGCTAGCAAGAAGAGGCCCACTCGGCCCACCCATTCCACATCCCGTCCTGAACCCCCTCTTCACCCTCGAGGCCAAGGGGAGCGCCTTTGGAACACATGGCGTAGGGACGGCGACGGCCGTTGTTTCTATTGTCGTGAACCCGGGCATGGGATGGCTAATTGCCCCCAAAGGGGCCAAGGGGCCAATCGGCCGGCTAAGATTGTGTAACGATTGTTTAACCTCTCCGATGTTGTAGCGTTCTTAATATATTTAAAAAAAGAAAAGAAAAGAAAAGACAACAACAACAACAACATACACACATATTCTTGCACTCAAGTAAGATTAATACGCACGTCATACGACCACATGGTCTCGTCCGTTGGGCCTGTGCAAGAAGACATGAACGTGCCCACAAGACGCTTACACAATGTGTGTGCGTCCTCTACAGACTGCCGTTGATAAGACTCATGACAAGATTTCTATGTCATCACCATATATGACCACCAACTACAGCCCAGTATGCCAAGTTGACATGCCCAATCCAATGGTTTATTACTTGAGGGATGACGTGGCCGAAGAATAGCGAGCGAGTGGGCACCTATAATTAGCGTTTGCCTTCCTTCCCGACAAAAAAAAAAAAAAAAAAAAAAAAAAAAAAAAAAAAACTCCCTTGTTGAGGTCGGAACTAAATGAGGTGAAGCACCTTCCTGACTCTCTACCGTCCCTATTTGTGTTCCCTCTCCCACCAGAGCTCGAAACCATTTCGGCCTATGCCGATGACGCAACCAAGATTACCCGCATGCAAGGCTGCCTCCGTGACCGCGCTGCATGGTGGTCCGCCTGGTGCGACAGCCACTTGATTCTATCGGTGATTACATCTGGATATCGCCTACCATGGGTTGCCTCTGAGCCCCCCCATCTCGTACTAAGAATCATGCTGGTGCCTTGCAATTCACATCTTTCACTGTAGGTGCAGTGGCCGAGCTTCTCGCCACCGCGCAGCTCGGGTCGTACCTCCTTCCGCAACCCTTACATGCGTTAGCCCATTAAACGTGATTGTCCAACCCTCTAAAAAGAGGCTGATATTGGACTTGCGGCATGTCAACTCATTCCTCTCGGTGCGTCGTTTTCGATACGAAGGACTTACTCGCGTTCCTGATTTGGTGCAAGAAGGCGATTGGCTATTCACCATCGATCTCAAATCTGGGTACCACCACGTCGACATTCACCCCGCCTTTTGGCGGTTTCTCGGATTCTCCCTGCAAGGGCAGGACTACCAATTCCTCTCCTTGCCTTTCGGACTGGCTACAGCGCCATTTGTGTTTACCCAGTTAATTAAGCAACTCTCCAAACGCTGGCGTAGTCGTGGCATCCGCCTTATTCCATACGTCGATGATATCCTATTCATTAGTGCCACTCGAACAAAGGCACTTCACAACCGCTCCATAATCATCGCCGACCTTGCAGCCACGGGCTTCGTAGTGAATTTCAAAAAATCACAACTCGCGCCGGCACAATCTTTGAAGTTCTTGGGCCTCTTGATGGACACGCGCACCACCACATTCTCTGTCGATGCGGATCGGCGCGATCGGCTGTTTGCCGAGCTGGATGAATTAGGCACACTCGGCGCTAACGGGCGTCGCATCCCTGTTCGCCGCGTTGCCCGCATCACCGACATGTTGGCCTCCATGTCCTTGGCACTTGGCACCGTCGCGCGCGCCTTCTCCCACCACCTTCTCGCTCAGATCGCCGAATGCCACTCATGGGGGGCGGCCATTCTCCTAACCCCTGAGTCTGTTGAAGAGCTGCGTTTTTTGCTCACACAGTTCGACATTTTCAACGGGCTGCGTTCTCATGGGAGGCTCTCGCCATCCCGAGCTTACCTTCGTATGCCGCGCAATTATTCAATTGTGCGTGCGCCATATGATCCGTCTCACGGTCCAATGGATTCCCCGTGCGCTGAATACTGAGGCCGATGCTCTGTCCAAGATTGATCTCCAGGACGACTACTCCTTGACACGTCCTTGGTTTCTGCTGCTGGAGAGGCATTGGGGGCCTCATACCATCGACTTGTTTGCATCCCCTGCCAATGCGCAGCTCGCTCGTTTCTGCTCCCTCGAGTTCTCACACTCGGCGGTTGCGCAAGATGCCTTTTCTATTAACTGGGGACACGAGAATTGCTTCGCCTTTCCTCCACCCGCCCTCATCCCGGCTGTCCTAACTCATGCCCGTCGCTCGCGCACTTCTCTCACTCTCGTGATCCCATATTGGCCTAGTGCTTTTTGGTGGCCTTTGCTAAGCCTGGACGGCTTCACTTGGGCCCCGGAGGTCGTTATGGCCCTTCGCCTTACCCTGGGTGCTAGTTGTTTACGTGTTGGCAGTGACCGTTATGCCTTTAGCGGTGCCGGTCTTCCGAACTCTCCAATGTATGCGCTTCGTTTTGCATTCAACTAATGGAGCATTTTATTTCACTGCGCAGGCTCATATATTGGTCGATTATTGTCGGACCTTCTCACACTCACCGTCGATCTTCGGGCAAAGTCTACCCTTCGCACTTATGAACCCTATTGGCGACAGTTTCGAGCCTTCTGTTTGGCGCACTCACTTCCCTTCCTTCCCGCCACCGACCTGACATCGGCCCTCTTTCTGCTGCACTCGGTCCGTCGCGGCGCTACCGTCTCTCTGCTGTGCGCACTGCGTGTTCCGCCATATCCTGCGCCCATTGGCTGGTCGGCCACCCCTCCCCGATTCGCGGCCCCTTTTCTTCGCAAGTCAAGGATTATGCCATGCGTCATTGTGGCAAGCCATCTCAAGCGAAAGAGCCCATTCCTCCAGCCAAGATTTACGATATCTGTGACCTCCACTTCTCCTCGCATGATCCGGCCACATTCCAACGGGGCCTTATTCCCCTCCTCATGTTCGCAGCCTTCCTTCGTTTCTCTGATCTCATCTCCCTCCAGTGGCACCAGATCGAGTTCGATCGGGACTGCATGTGGTTGTTCATCCCCCGTTCGAAGACCGACCAAGCGGGCACCGGTGTTTGGGTCCCAGTGGCTGCTTCTTCTGCCCGCCACTGTCCGGTGTCGCGTATCCAACAGTTCCTCTTCCTGGCTGGCTATTCTCCGCAGACCCTTGGCCCCCTTATTCGTATATTTCAGCCAGGTGCCCGAGCTTCCCCCTCAGATCGCCCTCCCTCGTACGCCGCCATTCGGGGTTGGTTTCGAGATGCTTTCTCCCGTGTCGGCCTCAACCCAGCCCTCCTGGGCACCCATTCTTTCCGCAAGGCAGCTGCGACGGTCGCCGTTGACGTTGGAGTCCCCGACCGGCTTTTCAAGGCCCTCGGCCGTTGGCGAAGTGATACAGCCAAGGAGCTTTACATTACTCAGCTTGACCGCGAGCTAGTGGCCGCTTCTCGCATGCTACAAGATCCTACTCGCTCGAGCGCGACCGATCGGTACCAGGCCACCCTTGAGCGCCACCGTCGACGCCCTCACACTTGATGTCTCGTTCGACCTATGACGACTGCACTGCACACTCCTCTGAGGTCGTGTCACAATATGAGAAATTTTTTGTAATGTAAAATTTACAGATTGTGATTCGACTAGAAGAGGAGTTTGCTGTAAAGGAGACAAACTCCTTCATTTATCGGCAGGTCTTTCAGACCTGCCACCTAGTCTCATTTGCATTTTTCTGTTCCAACTTGCCCACCCTTCCCTCCCTCGCTTTGATAACTAGCATGGCCGTTCAGCCTTGTTCCCTTGCCATGTATTTGCCCTATCTAGTGTGCTGTATTATGGAGCTATGATATGCTATGACGACTGCACTGCACACTCCTCTGAGGTCGTGTCACAATTTCTTATAAATGGAAAAACCAGGGGGGGTGTGTATCTTATAAATGGAAAAAAGCCTTATAAATGGAGCACCAACTTTAAGGGCTGGAAAAAAATCAAATTACGGTTTTTGGGATCGTGCGTCCATAATTCGACAACGAAACACCTAACAAAGGGGGGGTTTCTCACGCACGCCGCAATCGTTACAGCATGCCAGCGTGACGCAAGGGGGAATGCATGTACTGCAGTGTCACACCAGCTGGCAGTGGCCGTCACGTGCTGGATGGCGAATGATGCTCTTCACAGCAGCATCTCAGCTTCTGGATGCTGCTCCTCATCGAGGTGTGATTCCTCTTCGATGAAAAACGCGCCCCGGGCCTGAGCTTTCGGAGGGGGGTGTACCTCTCATTTTTTCATTCTGTTCTCGTTCCACTTGGAAACTCTGCTCCCATTCCTTAGCTCAACGTCCTCCCCTGCCTTAGCGACGCTTCCTTCCCTGCATCGGATTTCTAGCCTGCCTCAGCTCGGCTAGTGTCATCGTGTGCCGCCATGTGCAGCAAGCATCCACCTCAGGACAAGGCGTCAGGGTTTAGGCAGTGCGGAAATCATCCCTCACCACCCCGCGTTTATGTCAACATTTTTGGGCGCCACAACTCCCCTGGCCATACACTGAATATCCCAGACACCGCTGCCAAGAAAACCTCGTCCTCGCCTGCCAAGAAACCCTCGTCCGGCGCCTGACTATGGGATGGCTAGAATGGGCAAGGGGGAGGACGACAACGCTGAGGACGGCGGCTCTGCCAACGCCTCTGACGACGACCGGTGGACGAAACCCATCGGTTCCGCGGAGGAGGTTGAGGAATGGTATGCTGGCGAGGAGGATGAAGATGATAACCAAGCGGGCGAGATGGCAGGCGGCGAAGAGAATGACTGTGATTACGTAGAGGAATACGGTCGTGATGACGACAATGAGGAGTGCGGCATAGGCGAGGAGGGTGCAGCAGAGGAGGTGGAGGACGGGGATGGCTGCGAGGCGGCTTGCGACAACATGGGTGACGGTGACGACGTGAGCCACGGCGACGACATGGGGAGTGACGGCATGAGTGACGAAAACGTTCCGATCGAGAAGCGCCGTGTGAAGTGGTTGGTTGACTCCAAGGTGAAGAAGCAGCGATTGCCGCGCAGCGAGAATGGTGCTACTGCAATAAAGAAGAAGCGGAGTGCAGAACCTAACGAAGTGTCTCCCAAGCGGCAGTGATACACAGCAGCGGAGAAGGGCAAATCTAAGGCGGACGACATCCCACAGTAAACAAAGCGAAAGAATTCGTCACGCTTGGTCCCCGGAAGGCCACAAAGCGGGCTGACGTATCTACTCCAGACGCGGTCCCCGAAGATAACTCCGAAGACCAGTATGAAGAGGCAGTCGGCCCGCTCCCCACCTTCCCTGAAGGCAGGAAGCCGAAAAGCCCCCAGGAGAAGAATCCAGATGCCCAGCCGCCGTCTCCGCGAAACCGGCTCTCGAAGAAGTATCGCCGTAGCTTCACCGTGCAGGAGAAGACGAAATGGGCCCGCCGCTATTACGAGCTCAAGTCCTTCATGTGGACTGCGGCGGAGGCGGGCGTGGGCCTGTGTTCCATCAAGCGGTGGGTGGACCAGCAGATGCTTGGGTGGTACAGGGGTGCCGCCAAGTATCGCAAGCAACTCCACAGTGCGGGGCGGCATGCTCATCACCCTGTCAGAGAGGAGAAGCTGTACAAATGGATCTGCGAGTAGTGGGGACTCGGCTTGGCGGTCGGCGTGAAACAGATCCGTGAGTGGAGCCTCAATTACATGCGCAAGCAGCAGCCAAAGGGCCATTGGCAGGCGTCCAGCAGCTGGAGCCAACAGTTTCGCAAGCGCTGGGGATTCACCATGCGCTGCCGCTCTAAGGTCGGCCAAAAGCTCTCTCCAGGTGAACGTTTTCTTGCGTTCCCTTACTGGCTGATCGTCTCTGCTTGCTGGACTCATCGCCCATCCCCGCTCCTTCTCTTGCTTGCCGTGCATGCGGTATCGACGGTTCCGCTAGCTGAACAAGGTCAGATCTCTCATCCCCCTCTCCCCCCCCTCCCCTCCTCTCCCCCCACCATTGTCCCTCTTCCCCTATTAATAGAGTGCGGCCAGGATTGTGAGGGGTTCTGGAAATTTGTCCGGATCAACCGCGCCCGCCACAACATCGACATGCGCCGCATCATCAACGCGGATCAGATGCCGCTGTTTGTCGAGATGCCAGCGGAAAGGACCCTGGAGCACAAGGGATCGCGCTCCGTTCCAATGAAGAGTGCGGGATACGAGAAGCAACGTCTGGCGATGATGCTGGCTTGCGCAGCGAACGGGGACAAGCTTCCTCCGTGGGTTTGGTTCAAGCGCAAAACCAAACCCAAGTGCGAATGCCCTCCAGGTAGGTTGGCCTTTCCCCTTTTGCATGCCCGCCTTCCTGGGAGTCCTCTACCACAGTCAAACCACAAAGCTTGGCTATGTATGCATGGCAGGCGTGCAATCATGACTCTGTTTCTTAATTGCACCTGCCTTGTTCCCTGTGTGTGTGTTGTGTGTGTGTGTGTGTGTGTGTGTGTGTGTGTGGCAGGCGTCGAGGTTCAAGCGCATGTCAACGGCTGGATGGACGAGGAGGCCGTAAAGAAGTGGCTTTTGAAGGAAGTGCTGCCGTTCCTAAACCCCAAGTGTGGATCAGCCGCCCGACG